CTCCTTACACCATAACCTTATAGCTGCAGTTATAATACACTGTGTGGGGAGACAGGGGACCTCCTTACACCATAACCTTATAGCTGCAGTTAGAATACACTGTGTGCGGGGAGACAGGGGACCTCCTTACACCATAACCTTATAGCTGCAGTTATAATACACTGTGTGCGGGGAGACAGGGGACCTCCTTACACCATAACCTTATAGCTGCAGTTATAATACACTGTGTGTGGAGAGACAGGGGGCCTCCTTACACCATAACCTTATAGCTGCAGTTATAATACACTGTGTACGGGGAGACAGAGGACCTCCTTACACCATAACCTTATGTCTGCAGTTATAATACACTGTGTGCGGGGAGACAGGGGACCTCCTTACACCATAACCTTATAGCTGCAGTTATAATACACTGTGTGCGGGGAGACAGGGGACCTCCTTACACCATAACCCTATAGCTGCAGTTATAATACACTGTGCGCGGGGAGACAGGGGACCTCCTTACACCATAACCTTATAGCTGCAGTTATAATACACTGTGTGCGGGGAGACAGGGGACCTCCTTACACCATAACCTTATAGCTGCAGTTATAATACACTGTGTGCGGGGAGACAGGGGACCTCCTTACACCATAACCTTATAGCTGCAGTTATAATACACTGTGTGCGGGGAGACAGGGGACCTCCTTACACCATAACCTTATAGCTGCAGTTATAATACACTGTGTGCGGGGAGACAGGGGACCTCCTTACACCATAACCTTATAGCTGCAGTTATAATACACACTGTGTGCGGGGAGACAGGGGACCTCCTTACACCATAACCTTATAGCTGCAGTTATAATACACTCTTATTTATAGGACTTATTTTTTTATTATTTCTTTTCACTTTAGCTATGAGACACTGCCACAAATTTCCAATAATTATTCCTAAAGTGCTGGGAAGTGCTGGTGTGTGACTTGTGAATTTCAGACAGCTGAACTGGAAACATGGGTGAGTTGATTTCTGTCCAATGTGGTTATTTTATTGTATCACGCATCATCTTCTAGAGCGACCAACAAAGAATGCAAAGTCTAATTTCTGTATTGAAGGAAAAGCTGTCGAAAAAATTACATTTTGATTTTAAACTCACGTATTCCTAAATATGAAGTATGCATGTTTAATGTAAAAAAAACCTCATAGCTGGAACCCCCAAAGTGAGAGACGCTCTCATTAGATCACAGACAGTCCGTGTGTGTTACTGGTTCTGTCTGTTACACAATGTCAGATTAGTACCAGTGGAACCAGCAGATAATTAAACTCTGACTCCAGACAGGTAGCAGATGTTAGGTGTTACAGAGCTCCTCGGTTAGGTAGACAGGAGATAGCAGTGTCAAACGAGATGCTGACAGACGAGGAAGGTGTGAAAATATCTCTGTTTTGGTCTCTCAACGTCCTGCTCCTAGTGTGAACGGCCTATTGTTTAGCATTTTATATGGAAACTCGCTCAATCGAGAACAAATAGGCATATCTTCTTATTATTACTTGACTGTTATAAAACTTGAGTTGCTGTATTTGTCCATTAATGTAGATGCAAAATAGAGAAGAGACTATTTTGCAACTTTTATACAGTTGTTATAATGTATGTTGTTATGCCTTGAAAGTTTTAAAACCTCGATACTGATCACAGCAGTTACATGTTATAGCCACACACTGTGCCCCACAGACACGTAACCTCCCTCACTTAATCACACATACCTCCCAGTTGTCCCTAATTAGGAGGCACAGTCCTTACTATGGGCCCAAATCCCTCCAGGAGCTCCATACTGTTGGTGTGTCTGAGTGTATCACAGAGCTCCACAGCAACAATGCTCCCAGTAATGTGTCTGAGTGTATCACAGAGCTCCACAGCAACAATGCTCCCAGTAATGTGTCTGAGTGTATCACAGAGCTCCACAGCAACAATGCTCCCAGTAATGTGTCTGAGTGTATCACAGAGCTCCACAGCAACAATGCTCCCAGTAATGTGTCTTTAACACCTTAAGGACAGAGGCAATTGCACATGTTCTGATTATGACAAAATCAAAACAAAACCTAGAGTTTGACTATGTCTGTTGTAACGGCTACCCCTGTGGGGTAGACGGTGTCCCCAGACTTATTTGGGACAATGCTCCTTTAAGACTTTGTCCCCAGTGTCCCCAGACTGTTAATATACTGTGTTCCTGGCTTTCTCCCACTTGGTTCAGTGAATGGGGCTTACTGAACCAAGTACCACACAGGCGTACCACTTAGAGCTGGAAGTGTGCAGGCAATTTACCTGCCAGGCTGGGAGCCTGCTGTAGGTAAATTGCCGACCGCTGGGGGGCCGCCATTCGTACAAACGAACACGTGGCGGCGGCCATCTTTAATTCAACTGAAGTTGTACCTTCTCCAGACTTCAATGCATTCAACAGTTCGAACGCCGTTCAACAGTTCATTCGGCAGTTTATTTGACAGTTCGACCATTCGAATGGTTGTCGTTCGTCTGTTTGAACTGACTTTAACATGGGAAATAGACCAACCGCACAG